CGCCCATGCAGTTTCAAGTGTCGAGTTTCCATGCTGTTGGGTTTAGCGATTTCACGGAACGTTGAAGAAGACTCATGCGAAAGTCCAAGGTTCCAATTAGGCAACCGGTGCTCCAGGTTGGGAAGTGACGTACTTTACAATCTACTACTGGCAGGGGAAACAACTTCAGTACGTGGTTTGTTACACTTTGTGCCCCTTGGTGTATCCAACCATTAAGTCATTATCTACTAAAAAGAAGTCACATCGCCATGGGTTTTTGGATTGAAAGCGTTACAGTTCCCACGACCCAGAGTATCTGTAAATAGATTGAGTCATGCTTCATGAGTCAACACGATGGAAGCATCAACACGCAGAGAACGCTGACAAGAACACGTTCTCAACGAAACCAAAAGAAACGGTAACCTGGAGTATTCGACAGGAGTAAAGTATCCTGCCAACGAACCATTTCACGTAGATCCCACGTTGACTTCCATATGAATCAATATCAACTACCATGATGCATTGGTCAAACACGCTCCAAGCAAGCTTTACTAATCACACCAAGCAAAGCTCACAACACAAGATTATGAATTACTAAGAAGCAAACTTTGCAGTTTACCTTGCACTCGTCTTGAATAGTTGCAGTTGATATCGTTGGGTGGTAGCTACCTCTACGAGATCCCTCTATTCAAGTAGTATTTCCTCACGTTAGCAGATTAACTAGTCGCAGTTACGCACTGCCACATCTCCATCAAGTTGTCCGAGGAAGCAACCAGACTCAAGCATGTCCTATGCAACCTATGCGGTGAAGAAACTTCCACCACAGGGTATCAGGCATCCCACATGCGTCTCGCATTGGCTAGTCAAGGAATCGATGGATGGATAGATCTCCTATTCCTCACCAAAGATGAAGTTATGGACCTCCAAGCTCCCAACAATACCAACGACGCTCCACGACCAGTACCTCTCACCAGGAAGAAGCTACTCGCAGCGATACAGATGTACCACCATTGGTCATTCAAGAAGAAGTCTCTGGTGCGCATCACTTCGCTGACTGAAGCCGCACTCGACACATTCAGAGTTGGACTTTTCCAACCCCACGGTGAAATCATCCCGTGGCAGCAAATGAGACGTAGCCACTGGCGAGCATGCAATCGTGCTATGGGACAAGAACAACAAGCCCGTTCGGTCGGAGTTCAGAGAGTTTCACGGCGAATCCTCTTTCATCAAATGTGTTGGGGATTCGCGATTAGGGATTCAGCCCCTTTACCTCAGTACTAGAATTTCCACCAGTAGAAAAACTGAGCACATCCACTTTTTCAGTAGTATCTCAATAGCAAGACAATTGTAAACTAGAGAGCTGCCTTAGTGAATCTAACATACTACTGAAAAAGCTGACTGCCTATCCACAACAGACAGAGGATAGAGCAGTAGTCGGTGTATCGAAGCTACGACATGAAGAAAGACTGCCGAGGACGAACGCGATACGGATCGATCGATGACGACGCAACCGGCGTGCCGAAGAACAAAACTGCCGACGACGACGCGAAGCCGATACCGACCAGGAGACTGTCGAAGCGACAGCAACAAGAGAAGACTGTCGAAGGATCAACAGTGATAAGAGAGAAGCCCTTCAGGACTGAAGGCAAAGGATCCGAGGACGGATCCGAAATCCCAGCAGAAGAAGAGTTTCGACGGCAGGATCGCAACGGCAGAATCCACAAGGATTACCGACAGGAGAAGAGCCGACAGCATCCAGATGGAACTGTCAAGGCCGAATCAACAACCACTGTTGAGCGCGAAAGCCACAGTGCCAGCGCAGGGACCAAGGACGGGTACCCAACCAAGCGTGAGACAGTGGTCGTTGGTAGTGGTTTCACAGCAGGCATTCCTGCTCGTCCACTACCACCCACACGGACAACATTTGAGGATTTCCTTGCCACTTTGGAGCCTTGGGAAACAGCTCTTTATGACGAGCTTGAATGGATGGTGGACGCTTACTCCGTCCTGCAGATTGTCACAGCCATGCCCTTCTGGGTGGCGAGTGATGGGGCTGCAGACATTGACACTGGAAAGGTGAGTTTTGCTTGGGTTCTGGGCGACAATCGCGGTCAGATTGTGCTTTGGTGCTCTGGTCCCGTTTTTGGTCTTGTTCCGACATCCTACAGGGCGGAGGCTTGTGGCATTCTTTCCCCTACTTGCCTTCTGCGGAGACTGCTCGAGTTCTATGACCGAACCAGCATGAAAGATTATGTGCACCTGTGCGACAATGAATCCGTCACCAACAAGTGCGCTGGCTGTCTGGACTACGAAGGCTGGTACCCCAATGATTCCTTAGACTCCGACTGGGATGTCTTACAGCAGATCGAGGATTCGTTTCGGGCTGCTGTCGCAGTGCCTAAGATGGAGCACATCAAATCGCACCAAGACAAGCACAAGGCCATCGGAACGCTACCTTTGAAGGCTCAACTGAACTGTAGAGCTGACAAAATGACAGGCAGCTACATGACAAGACACATCAAACAGGACCACTCCAAGGTACTCCGATTTCCGGCCAACTTGGCCCAGCTGCACCTTCCCAAAGGAACATGCACATACAAACTCCCCAGAACGCTGCGGCATCTGAGGAACGACCAGCCCTTGTTCGACCACATTGTCAAACTTAATCCAGATTGGGATGAGGACACACCGGCACTGGTTGATTGGACAGCTCATGGTCGTGCTGTCAACCGTCAAGAAATCCACAAACCGACAATTGTGAAGTTTCTCTTTTAATTGTTGCCAGTTGTGAAACGAATACACCGGGATGACCCCAAGTACGATCATCATTGTCCCCGTTGCGGCGGTGATCATGAGACTGAGACCCATGTTTACAGATGCCCGCATGTTGACGTGGATTTGTGGCGAGGGACCATGCAACGAGCAATCAGTACAAAGTTGCGCAAGGACTCCACAGACCCCTTCCTATTGGAAATCGTTCTTGATGGGCTTCAATATCACTTTGAAGACCGGTTCCTACACCCGTGGCATTACCCAGAACGGTATAGGGACCTTGTTGACGCTCAAAATCTCATTGGTTGGGATAATTTCCTGAGAGGACGATTGTCCAAGCATTGGGCCAAGCACCGGGACACATATTTGCATCGGGTCGGTTCCACGGAGACCACCAAAACTGGGCAGCTTTGGGTCACCAACCTGGCTTCTGTTCTGATCCAGCATGGAATCTCTGGGAAGATCACAATGCCACCAGGCACGGCCGGGATCAGGAACAGAAATGGCGCAAGAAACACGAACAGCTCCAAAGAGAGGTTGAGCTCCTGTATGAAAAAGCAGACCTGCTCCCAGAGCATCTCCTTGATACCATCTTCAAACGACCCCTGGAGGAACATATGGCCAAAGGGCCGGGGGATATCAAAGCATGGCTGGCCAATTGGCTTCCAGTTGTTGACAAAGCAATGAGGGATGAGCATGCACGTGAGCAGCCTTCCCAATCAGGGTAACTATGCGCCGATGTGGGATTCCCATTGCAATAGCGGGCGATTCAGCCTAGTCTAGATAGTTAGTCGTACAGCACCCTCCGGAGTTTTGTTCAATTTCTCCGGTGGGGGGCTTACACTAGGCTCATCCTAAGTGGGCGCCCTTGTACGCCTGAGGTATATGGGTTCGTCACGGCACCGTTCAGCGGATTGTCTGACGAGGTGTAGCCTTTAAAATAAAATTTCGTTATTTTTGGACGGGTACCCAACCAAGAGATCATCAATCAACAAGGAAACGGGTTTGGAAAGGCAGACGACCGCACACAGTGTGAAGCAATCGCGCCTGACCTTGCAAGATCCTTAGTTCTAGATCTAACACTCTCTAGCCAAGAGTATAAATTGAAGTTTATCGCCCCATAGCCGAAAGACGAATAAGTAGTTAGACGAGATCTTAAAATAAAGAGCTAGTCTATCAAAAATAAAAATAAACAATACAATAGTCCACCTACCGTAGTATAGAAGATGAGCGGTAGAGGTAGAGGAAGAAGTGGCCGAGGCAGCAGAGGACGAGGAGGGCGTGGAAGATCCAGCCCAGCGTCAAGGAACAGGCAAACAGGTTCATGCAAAGCCCTCGACCACCATGTGTTCAATTTCGGTACATCTGGATCTGGAACGGCAGACCAGATGATACGAACATGGGAGAAGATCACCATCTACACTGGTCAACAGATGGGTGACGACATCGGAAATGAGCTCCGAAACCTGACACAAACCATGTTGAAACCACCAGAATACTCAGAGGAGACCAAGGAAAGGCTCTGACTGGCAGCAGAATGACGCCAACAGAAAAACACACGCCTGCTAACGGCGATCAAGGCCAGCCAAGCACTTATGGAGCAACAGATAAGCGCGGTTAGCCAGGACCCGAATGAAATAGGTAGCTTACGAGCCCTAATAATAGAAAAACCAAACATCGTCAATGCCGAGTAATGAGCTACCAGGTAGCTAGCTAGTCAAGAAGCCAAACTCAACCTGATATGATGGGCTCTCCAATGCATACTTTTGCATCATTTTTGATGCTGCTGGAGAAGGATGATGCTTCCAACTTCAACTAAAGGCTACTGGTAGTGTAAACGTAAATGCTAGCAACTCCCAATCATAGCTATTAAGAGCTCCCGTGAGGCTTGAAAGACCTAGTGACAACTGAAAGAACAAAAAACTCAATCTAATACATTCATTCAGGGATACCCAGATATCTCTTTGGGATTCTCTTCAACAAAGCTATAGGGAACATTGCATCTTGAGCTCTACTCATGTCCAATCCATGAAGCCCTTCCAACGTGTCGCGCCACGCATACGAAAATCTGCGAACACATCATGGCTGGGAAGATCACTTGGCATCATGCTTGGAGAAGAGCTTGGAAATCTGCTTGGGGGAACACTGGGTTCAAAACTTGGCCAATCACTTGGGGAAATACTGGGTTGAAAACTTGGTAAAGTACTTGGGCCAATACTGGGAAGTTCGCTTGGGTTGGCGCTAGGTCTCTAACTTGGTGTAGTACTTGGAATGTTGCTGGGAAAGGAGCTGGGTGTCATGGTGGGGATACTGCTTGGTAACTGGCTGTGTGTTGGACTCATACTTGGTGCCGTACTGGGAGATTCACTCGGAACTGGGCAGACATGACACAAAGGAGACCATGTCACTCCATCAGACTGTAATGTTGGGTCTCCTTGTTCTGTGCAAGCACTTCCCGAAAACGTGTTAGTCCACCCTGACCCCTTTCCGCCCCAAGCACACAAATTTTGGTTGAATGCTGTTGCAAAGCTAAAGGTTTGCAACATGCTTGTAACGCTGCTTACATCCCAACTTGAGATGTCTTGGTTGAACGCTGTTGCATACTGGAACATCGCATACATGAGGGTGACCTTTGACACATCCCAACCAGAAATATCTTGATCGAAGGAGTCGGCATTTCTGAACATGTTATGAAGGTGTGTTACTTTGCTCACCGTCCAGCCACCGATGTTTTGATTAAAGCTGGTAGCTTCACGGAACATGGAATTTGTAAGTGCAACTTCCCGGAGATCCCATCCACCAATATTTTGATTGAAGGTGGCTGCTCCATAGAACATGCCATTCATGCCAGTAACTGATCCTGTATCCCAGGAAGAAATGTCTTGGTTGAAGTATGTAGCACCCCTGAACATTTTCCCCATGTCAGTGATTTTGCTAACATCCCATCCAGTGATGCTGTGAGAGAAAGTCTGCATGTCATCACCTGTCCTATCGAAGAAAAAAAGTTCGTCAAAGGACATTTCTTCAAAGCACCAGCTGTGGATGGGACCATAGGTAGCTTGGGCAGTTGGAATATCGAGTAGAGCTGCATCAACACTAGATCGATCAAGAAAACATTGCTGAGCACTAGGTTGAAGACTCAAGGATGGAGATGTTGAGGGTGACAAACTAGGCAAATTGCTAGGAAAACCACTGGGTTGAAGACTTGGCACATCACTTGGGGGAAGGCTTGGGAGATCACTTGGTATCATGCTTGGAGAAGAACTTGGAAATCTGCTTGGAGAACTACTAGGTTCAAAACTAGGGCAAGGGTCACTTGGTGAATGGCTGGGAAGATCACTTGGCATCATGCTTGGAGAAGAACTTGGAAATCTGCTTGGGGAAACACTGGGTTCAAAACTAGGCAAATCACTTGGGGAATGGCTGGGAAAATCACTTGGCATCATGCTTGGAAGGAAGCTTGGGAGAGCACTGGGGTTGGCACTGGGTTTCTGACTTGGTCTGTACTAGGTAACATACTTGGGACATTGCTGGGTGAGGGCTGGGTGCATGCTGGGGTTTGTGCTTGGGACCGTACTTGGCACATGGCTTGGCAATGTGCTGGGGGAAAGGCTTGGCAATGTGCTTGGCGCTGTAGAGGGGGGTAAACTTGGCAAACTGCTGGGCAAATTGCTGGGCAAATTACTTGGTTCAAAACTTGGTAGATCACTTGGGGAATGGCTGGGACGAGCACTTGGCACATGCTTGGAAGGAAGCTTGGGAGCACTGGGGTTGTCACTAGGTCTCTGACTTGGTCTGGTACTAGGTAACATACTTGGGACATTGCTGGGTGAGGGCTGGGTGACTGCTGGGGTTTGTGCTTGGGACCGTACTTGGACATGGCTTGGCAATGTGCTGGGGGAAAGGCTTGGCAATGTGCTGGCACTGTAGAGGGGGATAAACTTGGCAAACTGCTGGGCAAATTGCTGGGCAAATTACTTGGTGAATGGCTGGGCAAATTACTTGGTTCAAAACTTGGTAGATCACTTGGGGAATGGCTGGGACGAGCACTTGGCATCATGCTTGGAAGGAAGCTTGGGAGGGCACTGGGGTTGGCACTAGGTTTCTGACTTGGTCTGGTGCTAGGTAACATACTTGGGACATTGCTGGGTGAGGAGCTGGGTGTCATGCTGGGGTTTCTGCTTGGGACCGCGCTTGGGACATGGCTTGGCAATGTGCTGGGGGAAAGGCTTGGCAATGTGCTGGGTGCTGTAGAGGGTGATAAACTCGGCAAATTGCTTGGCAAATTACTTGGTTCAAAACTTGGAAATCTGCTTGGGAAAATACTGGGTTGAAAACTTGTTGAAGTACTTGGGAGAATACTGGGAAGTTCACTTGGAAATATGCTTGGAGCAGAGCTTGGTGAAGTACTGGGGGTGATACTGGGCCCCTTGCTTGGTCCAAAACTAGGTGCTGAACTTGGGAGCTGACTTGTTGAGGAGCTAGGTGCTATGCTGGGGCTGGCACTAGGTCTCTGACTTGGTCTGGTACTGGGATCGCTACTGGGTTGGGAGCTAGTTGATGGAGACGTGCTGGGGAGAGAACTTGGTGCTGTACTTGGAGCATCACTTGCACTTGGCTTGCTGCTGGGTTGAAAGCTGCTGGTTGGTGCATCACTTAGAAAATTGCTTGGTGCTGAGCTGGGACCAGAACTGGGAAGTATGCTTGGGGACTGGCTAGTGCTAGGGTCTGAGCTTGGCATACCACTAGGCCCAAGACTTGTCGTTGGAGCAACACTTGGGGGGAGGCTGGGTAGACCACTTGGGTGGGTGCTGGGAATTGTGCTGGGTGACACGCTAACACTTGGGTTTGAACTGGGATCATTACTGGGTTGGGTGCTAGCTGATGGCAACGTGCTGGGGAAAGAACTTGGTGCTGTACTTGGTGCATCACTTGCACTTGGCTTGCTGCTGGGTTGAAAGCTGTTGGTTGGTGTATCACTTAGAAACTTGCTTGGTGCTGAGCTAGGATTGACACTAGGGAGAGCACTGGGCATCAATGATGGGACCATAGTTGGAGCAACTGGGGATCTTGAAGGGTAGTTGGAAGGGATGATGCTAGGCATCAAGCTAGGGCCATATGAGGGTACTAGAGATGGTGACTCACTCGGGTATTTAGAAGGATTGCTGGATGGTGTCAGACTTGGAGAGGCAGAAGGGCTAGGGGTAGGCCCATGAAGTGACAACAGTATAATGTTCGCATTCTGGAGTTTGGAACTCAAGGCATCAGAGAGAGGTGAGATGTACCCATCACTATACACTGTAGGCATGGACAGTGCATTTGCATTCACTCCAAACACCAACATCTCATTCCCTGGAGTACCTTCTAGTCGCCGCCTCTGAAGACTCCTGCTTTTGACAGAGACACTGAGCGCTTCTACAGAACATGTGGAACTTATTGATTGTGTTGCATTCCAGAGGGAACTGGCAAAGTATGCATTATCTTTTGCAGTGGTGTCACCAGATAGCATGGCTGTTAATGTGACATCCATATTCTGCAGAGGCGTACTGCATGTTGGCATGGCAGTAGGAGAAAGAGATGGTGTATGGCTTGGGGAAGGTGATGGCAAAACTGAGGGTTGGCTTGTTGGATTTGTGGTTGGATTGAATGTTGGTTTGGCCGTTGGGTTGTGGGTAGGAGAGTAGGTGGGGTCTTTTGTTTCTAGTGCTGCAGGTTCACCCGTTGGAGGGGAGCTCGGTGAGAATGTTGGCATGGGTGTAGGTTCTGGAGTTGGGTTGGGGCTGGGTTGATTAGTTGGACTTGATGTTGGTTCAACTGTTGGGGTCACTGTTGGCTCTTGTGTGGGGGGTGGTGTTGGTTCTGATGTTGGTTCCTCTGTTGGTGGTGCAGTAGCAGCATTTCCAGTTTGTGTTTCTGTTGGCGCAGTGGTCTCAGGGGCAACTGAAGTTCTAGGGGCAGTAAATATTGAAGGTGCTGGGGTGGTTGCATTGATGGGATCTTCCAGAACCTCCTCAATCTCAATGACAGGAATTACAATGATGGGCAACGGGGCAGCAGTAGGGATTGCAGAACCGGCAGTTTCTTCAGCAGCATCGGCCTGTTCCTCCTGTGCTTTGACAAGTGCAGTATTGTACTCTGTAAGGAAGTCAAAAGATCTGCTTGTGTTTTGCTCGTCTCCTGGCTCTTTCCCAATGGGACACAAACATACATCAAGGGCTTGTTGAAGGTGTCGACTTCCCCTTGATGAAGCAGAAAGGCCCCTGTGTTGACCTTGATTTGTATGGAGAGACATTTCATCTTCTTCCAAAAGTGAACGCCGGAAAGCATCATCAAACAATGAGAAACTCCCTGTATCTGTGACTGGGCAATTTCGGCACCTTCCAGTAACCTCAAACAGGACTCTCCCTCCATTTCTGGTGGAGTTGGAGGCATCAGTGGAATTCCATTGATCTGTTACATTTCCACTTTGCAATCTTCGGGCTGAAATGTTGTCATCAACCATGAGACCAACCTTAGAAACAACCCTGAAGAACTCATCACATGCCTCAAACGACAAGCTGTTGTAGGTATCCTGAAACACTTTCTCCAGAGTTGTAATGGTACTGTATGGGAGCGTGGAAGGGTCCACTCCAAGATCAGCATATACAAAGGACTTGAACTGTCGGATCTCACCATTACAGAGGACTGGCTGTCCTTCCACAACATTCCCAGCAGTGGTCTGTACTGATGTTGCTTCCCCTTCATCCTCAAGGGCATCAATTTCATCATTGAATGCCACCTCAAAGTCTCCAGTTGTAGGCCCCACACCAATCTGTGGCTGTTCCCCTGCAGGGCAAATGCATGAGTCGCTGGCTCCTAGTTTTTGCTGTTGCTGCTGCTGTTGTTGGAGGTCCCTGAGGAATCCTGAGCTAAGCATAGCTTGTCCATGATTAGTATTGGCCAGGTTCCTTCGCCTTCGGAAAGCATCATCAAAGAGGTTGAATGTACCAGTGTCTGTGACTGGACAATCTCTGCATGTACCCGTGACAGAGAACAGAATGGGAACAACCTCGTCCGAAGATCGTTGGGGTGTCACAGTCCATGTAGAATGCATGGTGCTGTTGGTGCTATTGAAGACACCAGAGCTGTTTGTGACAAGTGTCTGTTGTAGATCTCGTTCCAGCAACACATCTTCCAAGCGGCGGGCTCCAACAAGATCAATGGCTACAGTGTCAGCTGTTGGAATCACCTGCAGTTCCACTTTTGCCACACTCCTGAAATGGCCATCACATGTCACATAGGACAACCGGTTGTAGGAATCTTGGAAGCTTCTCTCAAGCAGACGGGCCTCATCAACAGTGAAGGAAGAAATGTTCACCTGGAGGTCTGAGAACACTGCTGATTTGAAGCTCAACAAACTGGATCCACATTTCACTTTTTGCCCTTCTTCAACATCCTCTGCACCTGCCACAGCTTCCACTATGCCATTCTCTTGAAGCTCCTCCAAAATATCATTGTAGGAATCAAGAAAGTCTGTCTGTGTGAGAGTGGGAGCTTCCTCATCCCCATCGATGAACTTGTCTGTTTCTGGTGGACAGATGCAGATGTCATCCTCTTGCAACCACCTCTTGCCTCGGATGATGTGATCAAACTCTAAAAATGATGACACCCCCTTGTTTCTAGTGGCGACATCCCGCTGTTGGCCTCTGCCAACACCAATGGATCTATGAGGGTGTTGTGACTGGCTTAGATCCCATTCATCATTGAGCAATGCCCTTACCTTCCTGCGGAAGGCATCATCAAACAGGCTGAAGCTACCAGTATCTGTAACAGGACAGTTTCGGCATTCTCCAGTTATGGTGAATATGGCACTCCCTGCCCCAGATTGGACATTGGTGGGAGCCAACGACGGTGCTGATGATGGCATGATGGTTGTGGTCATGTTTGCGTCGCTAGCAGAATTGGTCTCATTCAAACCTTGTTGCAACCACCGGTTGATGACTCGCTGTTTTGAATTCTTGTCATCATGTTGGAGGTCCAAGGTTGCCCCGACAATTGTTCGAAAGTAGGGGTCACAGGTAAGGAAACTCAACTCGTTGTAGGTTCGAACAAAGGCATCTTCCAGTGCTTTGACTTCTGTTTGAGATGGAACCGCATTGTTGGCCAGGTTGACATTGATGTAGGCAAAGGAGGAAAAGCTCCGCTTCTCTTGAGAGCAAGGGATGTTCTGTAGCTCCACCAGTCTTTCTGTAGTAATTTGGGTGGCTAGGTTCAACTCAGGAAGGAACACCTCTAGAGAAAGGAGATTGGAATCTGGTGTACCCCCAGCTGGGCACAAACAGTCGGTGGATGCCCTTCGCAACATCTCATCCCTTGTTGGCTGTTTGTCCAAGACCACTCCAACTCCAGTCGCAGGTGGCTTTGTCCCTTGTGATAGTGGTGATGTCGTATTTGCTGCTAGCTGCACTGCTAGTTCAGTAGTGGTGTTGCTGATGTAGGATGGAAACAAGGGGAGAGATCCGGTACAGTTGTAGCAATTTGCTAGGACACGGAGTGTAAGAACTGAGCCCTCTTCGCCATCTTCAATGGCAAGGATTTCAGCGGACTTGATGGTTCGGAAGTATGGGATATCGCATGCCTCAAAACTCTGTCTGTCATAGACTTCTTCAAACGCTTCCTCGAAGCCATCTATCCGCCATGACGTCTCATCAACATCATCCAAAGTGTAGAGCACTAGGGTCCGTTCTATTATTGATGTTTCCTGTGGGCACACATACTCATCTGCAGCAATAAGACCTTCTGCTGTTTGTGATATTGCCGTGTATGGAAGGAAAAGAATCAGAGTGATGGCAATCCTCAGGAAGTGCATAGGAGTAGATTGGCTCTGAGGGTTTTGTTGGGGACTGCTGTTTTTGAAAGGGATGTGGAAACAGTTCATGTTGCTGCTTTATGCTCCTGGTTATCAATAGCTAAGGTTGTTTCTGCAGAGATTCTAGTTGGTATTCGTATTATAAGCTTGTCGGCGGTGTTTGTGGTGGCTTCGATGGCTCGTCCACTTGCTTCTTGGCTTGATAATGTACGGTGCTTGGCTTGTCGAAGACGAAAACGAAGAAAAATGGGCTCATTTTGGAGAGCTCTCGCACTTCATGCTCGATTGGTCTTGATGTCATTGGCGTCTTTCTCGTCCTTGCTGAAGCACTGGATAGGTACTGTTGATCCACAGTGGTAACCATTTAAAGCACACTTGTTCTCCGGAAGCTTTGTGATAAAGCTCGATGATAAGCCCAGTGTTTCTGTGGCTTTATGTCTTTGGAACGTGGAACATCGAATGCTGGAGTTGGCAATTGCAGCTACTTAGAGTATGATCCCCGATGATTCTTCTCACCATCTGCTAAATCGGATGTCTCCGTTAATTAATACTTGGTGTCTGGGGCTTCAAGGTTCTACCAGTGACATTATCAATGACTGCACAGCGAACGGCCTCGGCCGGCACACGGCCACACTACAGTACCACGGCACCCATCAAAAACGACTGTAGCTAGCTACTAGGCAAAACGTAGCTGATCGGCCAGACTTTTGAACCAATGCTCGGATCTAAGATGTCAGCAAAAGGACAAGAAGGAACGGAATGGATGTTCCTAGTTAGTTGCAACGAGCCAACCACCAGTGGTACTATCCGGTCCGAGCTACCGTATTCTTCCAAGCAAATGCCAGTACCGGCGTCGCAGCATGTGCTGCAGCACCCTTTTAAGGTCACTTGACGCCATGGTGGTAGGTGAGCAATCTCAGGCTGGTGCCACAACATGAGATCCAATTGAATTCCAGCCAAATACCATCGGAGGTTTGGCTTATTGTCATTTATGTTGAAGTTGCGTAGTTGTGGAGGTTTATGAGCATGGCCATGTTGGTGCTCAAAAGTGCCAGCCAGGTCGTGGCACAACTCTCCACCTGCAGCATGAAACGGTACGGAGGAGCGAGAAACTTCCAAACATCTCTTCTTGTAAAGCAAAATTCCCTCAAGCAACACGAAATCCAACAAATGGTTGGTAGTTTTTTTTAAGCCCCGGCTCTGACGGCATGTCAAGTGGCAAAACCCACTTTAACCGATTAGTCAATCTTAGCTTACTTTCTCCTGATGATCCAATACTATAGAGTGCCTTTTGACGGGGTTCCAATGTTGTCTGTGCGTGGAACCATGAAAGTAGATTTGCTGGCCTTCCGCAGTGTCTCTGGGACTGGGTCCATCCCTACTAGAGGAGCCCTGACTGCCACAGCAGTGGCCAGGGCTACACACTCCTGGTGCCTCCACCACACCGGTCATGCATTGTCATGACAAGCAAACCAAGCAATAACCAGATATGACCCCACATTTGCGGTGCGTGTTGGGGTGTCATCATCGACTGCCTTGGCTTTTGTCATTTTGAGGATCTGCTTCACTAGCTAGCTAGATATAGCTAGTATCCTCCAATTCCAATGGCCCGCACAAAGTGGATCTAGCTAGACTACACTGACCGCAGGAGGTAGCCGGTCTTTGCCGGATACCCCGGCTAACTGTTGAGGGAGCAATGCGGTGCAATTGCAGCTTTGTCACGCGCATTTGCCCGATCATATTGAGTACGTGGTGTCAAGTGTCACGGAGCTGTTTGTGATGGGTCGGAACGAAAGAGAAAGATGACAGAAACGACGGCGGCCTCCTCTGGTACTAGCCAGCTAGAAGTGGATATAGATACGATTGCAGGACCAGCCCATTCATTGTCAACCTCTTAGCCTGCCTTGACGGTAACACTGAGTTGAGCTTTGAAAAAGATCCAATATCCCCTCAGATACCCATGGAGGAAGAACATGTTCCTATTACTATAACTAACTCAATCTAGTGACAACCACCAACATCAACAATCGTCAGGATGAGTAGCAGCAGCCTACGAGACGCCAAGTATCTTTTGCACCCTCCGCGACGACAACAGCCGGACTATGGCAGTCACAACAACAACGACGACTCGGAGGAGTCTTCTTCTTCCATGGATGATGATGACGACGAAGAAGCCAAGGCCACTTTGCTAAGACGACAAGACAATTTCACCATTGGCTACGACGTCCAAAAGGGCTACCGCGGCACCGAATTGAAACTGTCCTCGTTTCGCCGTCCCCACATGCGTGCGTTTCACGGAAGTTGGTGTTGTTTCTTTGCCAGCTTTTTCACCCAATTTGCCATGGCGCCACTGTTGCCCGTCATGGAACAATCACTCCAATTAACAAAGTCACAAGTCTGGCAGGGCAATTTGGCCATGATGATTGGTGGCATCCCCATGCGATTACTGATTGGTCCCATGGTGGAAAAACATGGTGGAAAAGGAGCCATGACGACCATTTTGGCACTCTCGGGGATTGTCTGTGGACTGAGTGGAGTAGTGGTCACCAATGCCACATCCCTCTCCATTACTCGATTCCTTATTGGAGCCATGGATACGTTTGTACCGTGTCAATTCTGGATTACCTGTTTGTTTGTACGAGAAGTTGCCGCCACGGCCATGGCCATTGCCGGTGGATTGGGATCGGTCGGATCGGCATGTACACAGATCGTATTGGGGACCGCCATTTTCCCACTCATTGCCTACGCCCTCAACGGAGATGAAGATTTGGCATGGAGATTGACATTGATCTTTCCGGCTCTTCTTTCCATCTCGACGGCGTGGGTATTCGCCAAGTTCTCGGATGATTGTCCTCTGGGAAACTTTCAAGAAGTCAAAAAGGCGGGGCTCATGGTGGAACGATCCGCCATGGACTCGTTCCGGTCAGGGTGAGTGAAAAACTACGTTTGAGTAGTATGTATTACAACAATTGCGAGTACCGTGCCTACTGACACACAATCTTGTGCATTGATCATCCATCATTGCCATGATGTCATTATATTATATGTCAAACCAGAGCTCTGAATATCAATTCCTGGCTCTTGTTTCTCCAGTTTGCCTTTTCCTGTGGCGTCGACTTTACCATGAGCAATGGCGCCGCCATGTACTATCACAAAAGATTTAATCAACCCGTCTCCATTGTGGGAGCATTGGCATTCCTATACGGGATTTCGGCACTCTATGCCCGTGCTGTGGGAGGATATCTCAGTGATGTCATGAGCGAATCCCTGTCGCTACGAGGACGATTGTTGGCACAGTTTTTGAGTATGGCCCTGCAAGGACTCTTGAATGTATGGTTTGCTCGAATGGATGAACTGGGACATAGTGTGACAATGTTGGTGTTCTTTTCCATCATGGTGCAGGTACGTACCTTTTAAGAAGTAGTGTGGGATGCAATGGAATGGAGTGAAATGAATTTTGGCAGTCAGTATCCACAACAAGCTGACACAAGTTCACGCCGCTACGGTACAGATTTCCATGGGCACATGCTTTGGCATTGTACCGTATATTGATGGACCCAACATTGGGTCAGTGGCAGGAATTGTAGGTGAGTGACTTGATGGGAGTGGGTGTCATTCGCCGGACTGGCTTCTTGCTCCAATGATAATGCGGAAGCGAGAAATTACTAACGTAGCTGTGGTTCATGTCTGATATCATGATTTGGTCAGCGGCCGGTGGTAATGTTGGAGGAGCAATGTGTAGCTTGCTCTTCATGTACTATGATTATGACTGGGCCATGGAGTTGATGGGGTGGCTGACAGTAGCTTCCAGTTTTTTAACCTTCTTCATTGTGGTCAAGGGATTCCGTGGTCTTGTGTTTGGTACGGAAGATGAAGAGGGATCCAGTACAAAGCAACAGCATTCCCCGTTGGTCGTCCCTGGAAAGATGCAACATTCCCCTCACCTGGTGGCTTATCGACGAAGACAGAGGAAAAATGCGTGGCGTCCACGGAGCTGAGACGCGTAACTGTAGTTTCGGAACCTTCCAGGTTGTGGGTGAACCGCCCGGTCAGCACTCTTGGCTGCAACTCTCAATGTTCGACAACCCTCATTCGCTCCACCTGGTAACGTAACCAGGGTGTTGCGGAATCAGCGTCGTGTAACTACTCCCATTTGAATCACTCCCGCTCCAGTCGATGGAATCGTCCACCAATTGACGATGAGAGGTCGCACAGCTGGGCAATGGTGGCATTCTTAGAGAGATCACTTGTAGAGAATGCAAATTTTGTATGCTATGTAAATGTAAGATTCCATAATGGACGTTGAAGCTACGCGTATGATTGCAAGGTCACCTTGCCTCAGAAGCAAGTAGTGCAGCAATCGCAGACAACCTTCTCGCAGTCTGCTTGGATTTGCTCAAGTTTGTTGTCATCCTGGTTCACCAAGTCACAAACTGCATGGGGCATGGTCCCCGTTACTAGAGTCTCAAAGACGCGAAACTGTTCTGTAGTTTTCGAATCAACGGAGAGAAGAGGATAAGTTGGCGTGCCAGTTCAGAATCCAACAATGCTTCTCGCAAGTGCATGACGTACCAAGTTTGTCGAGATTTCCCAACTCTGCCGGAACGGTCGAATGGAAAGCTGCAAGAAGTCAAGACGTGGGTTGAGCACGGGCCGTTGGTTCTGAGAACCCTATGACACCATCAAAAGAAGCCAACGTACCGTTGCTCTCGAGATATAATCGTACCAGGGAATCCGTTAGCTTCCCGAGCTCGCTGGGAATAGCTTCTTGCAGGAAGTTGTGATTCACCCAAAGATCGCGCAGACTCCTCATGTTGCCGTATGTCGTGGGAAGGGGGCCCACCAAATTGTTGTGATTGATTGCGAGTACTTGGAGCTTGCTAAGAGCTTGCCATGCTGGTGGCAGTGTTCCTGTCATGCCACAATGGTCAATCGTGAAGCGTCCTGGAGAGAAGCCGCAGAAATCACGAGTTGTTAGCCATAGCCCGAGGCAAGGACTCGATGAGCATGTTGTGCCCGAATACGCCACTTACTGAGGTTTGTGAGGTACTGAATGGAAGTAGGAAGACTGCTTCGGAATATGTTTCGATGGAGCTGCAAGTCACCTGAATGGCAAAGGAAGGCACAAGTTAGAGGTACATCGCCATCAGTGCCGTTCGCCACCGACATTGGAAACTTACTCAGTTCGGGAAGATCTTGGAAGATTTCTGGAATCGACCCTGCCAATCGATTGTCCCCTGCGAAGAAGACCCCTGAAGCGAATGGAAGTCGTGTAGAAAGAGCAGTGAGAGGTAGGGGTTCATGCACTGCAGTTGTGAGCAAGACTACTCGTACCTAAGTTCTGGGCGTTGGCCAATTCTTTTGGGATGGTTCCAGTAAGGCTATTCTGGTGTACTCTCAGATCGCCTACATGTATTGGAAAAGCAAGGAAAGAGGCATGGATGAGATCAACCTTCTTCTTAGTAGAAAGCACGCTCAAACGTTAACACTTACGAAGCTGCGTGAGCTTTCCAATCCAACTTGGAATCGTAGATGTCAGTTTGTTGACGTCTAGATGTAGATAGGCTGTCATGACAACGGAAAAGAATGACTCGGTGGTAAGGAAGGAAAGTACACCGTGACTTTGAAAATCCAGGCTAGAACCAGGTTCCAAAGAGATTGCTCACCTAGCTCCTGCAATGAGGACAGATCGGGAATTGTTGAAATGAAGCTGTTATCCTGCAGCATCAAGGCCCTCATATTGGTCAACTTGTTCAAAGTTGGCGCTATTGGACCACTCAACTCGTTACCCCAAAGCGAGAGCTGGGTAAGTCGAGTGAGTGCGCCAATCTCTTCTGGCAACCGACCTCCAAATCGATTCTCCTGAAGCAGAAGATATTCCATTTGGCTCCAAGCTGTGAAAAGATCAGCCGAGAGAGAACCCTTCAATTGAAGGTTCTTTGAAAGATCCAACACTCGCAGCTCACTCAGCGCTTGGAATTCGATGGGAAAGTCACCCCAGATGTGATTGTTCGTCAGGTTCAGATGTGTCACCATAGAGCCCTCGCATTCGACGCCATACCAGTGACAAACGCTTGCTTCGGACATCCAATGGCCATTGCGGGTCCATGCTTCGTTTTGAGTCCCAAAGTGCATGGTCGCCAATGCAAACCTTGCGGGTACCTCTACATCATCCGGCTCCAACTGTGCTGGATCTTCTTCAAGTAACCACTGGAAAGCTTGATTGGCAGGAGAAGTTTCATTCTGCAGCCGTTCAGGAGTGGAAACTCCCACTAAGACGGACTGGAACTGTTCGACGCGGCTCAATGGTGGCAATGTCGCACCGTGTTCTTTCTTGTTTTTGATGTCTGAAGCTATCATTGGAATGACAGTGTATGCCGTACAAGCCATTCCAATCAGCAGCAGAGAAAGCAGAAGAACAAAGTTGCGTTTTCGAGGATCTCTGTGGCATGCTGTAGTTACGGTAATGGGACAACTGGCCGTGACTCGCCTTTGGCATTTCTGCAACATGGTCTCCTTCTGGTAAGGACTCTGAAACTGATGAATGGATGATCTGCGATAGGATTTGCCAAAGGATTCGGCGGTATGATCGTAGTCCAGATTGGCAATCGAACTGGCGTCCATGAGGTTGACGGACTGGTCAACGTTGTTCCAATCCGCTTGCTTGCGAGAAAACATCAGAAAGGAATCATGGACACCTTGGAGACTCGCCCTCCGCGACTTGGGAGCACCCACAGTGCAGTCCAAATTGGGCATATCATTCAACGTGGCAGCAGCCTCATCTTCCTGTCGCACCACAATGTCTTTCATAATGTCTTGGTACTCATCTCGGAAGAAGTCTTTTGTATTGTTTCTCCATTCCTGATTACTATGGGTGGAATTCCTGGTGCGGCTGCTACGGATTGAAGTGCGTAGCACAAAGTTGTCATACTCTTCGTCATTGCTCGAACAGTCGTTGCCATCACGATCGTCGTCTGATGCATTGGTGCTATGATTGCTGCTGTGGGATGACAAACCACGCCTGCTATGATTGCTGTTGCGGGGTGACAAGCCTGCCTCTTCATCCGTATGCTTGGCACGACCTGAATCCCTCTTTACAGTACCCAGACCTGCCAGCATGTTCTCTACCACAGCATCGTCATGATCTGAAGCGCGGGTAAGCGCCTCATCATCGTCGTCCTGGTTGCAACCACCAAGAAAAAGATCCAGCGTCGGCCGTTTTCTTGGAGCCGCGCCATTGGATGAGGCAGAAGTTGCGCGGTACAGATTCGGAGGACGCAGGTCATCCAAGGATGTTCTCTTGATTGATGCTCCAGAGTGGTTCCTTCTGAGTGTGGTTGGTTTTGGAGATAAGGAACTGTTGTTACTTTGGCTGCTCGAACCAATGGACGTCACTCGCTTCATGGAACTGGATCGGAGCAAACCCATCCTGGCTGAACCTTTGTGCTGGTGCTGAAGCTCTCGAAGTCGAATCTCCACAGCATCTGCAGCGGTTGTGGGAGCATAGCTATCATCGTCGTCATCGCCATGATGGTAAAAGCTATTGATGGCAATGCTGGCAACATCCGAGGGTCTCTGATGATATGGTTCTCGCACGGGTGAACTCAATGAGGACAAGGAGGCACGGGGATAGAGTCCGGCGGGAGAGGACAGATCACTTGGATCCTGACCATCATCATCTTCATCTAACGCGAGACCTCGCTTTGTGGGAGACGACGTATACAGCCCTTGACGAGGAGCCAGGGGATCTGCCATCAGACTTCGATGGCTAGGAGACGAAGTGTAGAGACTGGCCCGAGGAGCCGAAGTACCAGCAGTCTCCACGCCCTTGCTCTTATTGTTGCCGTTGCTGCCGTTGCTGTCTTTGTCCGAATCCGAAAGCATATCCACCGAGAAGTTGAAGGAATCATGACCGCCACCGCCGAGGCCTTCCATAGCTAGCGACTTGTTGCTACCCACAAGCTTCTTACTAAAAGCTCGAAACGACAAGGCACGCTCTAATCGGGAGGATCGCTTAGGCGACAACCAGGAAGCATTCTTGGTTGGTTTCTCCTCTTCTCTTGGTTGTTGCTGCATAGATCCCCAGGCATCGGCACTGAGTGTTCTCTTGAAGATTGACACATTTTGGTTTGTCTTTGATACGTTCAAGCTGGATCGAGTGGCAGGCATTGCTGCCTCGATCTCAATATCCGTGAGATCGTTCTTGTCGACATCGTTGGAAGCAACGGTGGCATTCTTGTTGCTAAGTCGCCCAGTCCTTCCACTTCTCGTACTCGTCCTTGGTTTCGCCCGCAAGTCTCCAGCCTTCGACGGTCGTTTGGCGGATAAGGACTTGGAGCGGCTTACTTCTCGTCTCTTCACCATGGTGATGCTGTGCTGCCTCTTCTTCTTCTAATGATGATGATCAATCTCCAGTGAAGAGAGGTGCGAGCTTGGCAGAGACCGCGACAACTGAAATTGTGAGAGGATGAAGCTATTCACCCTTGTGGCTCGGTAACAAAAATCCTGCTGTATCGGTACCGGTACCGGTTGTCAGGAAGTCATAATGCCTTCTTTCTAGCTAGGCTCAAAATGTCTTTTCCCTGGAGAAGGGTTCTTCTTGGCACTCTTTGGTACGAATTCGAGTTCTTCTCAAACATTTATTTCCGTAGGGCAGGACCCATTCCTCTCGGGTGCAAAGGGCGAAAGCGGTAGAAGGCAGTGATCTGATTGGCTAATCAACCTATGACATCAGCAAGTATGTCGCAAAAATTCAAATATACTTAACGTACCGTTTATAAAGATTACAGAGCTAGTGTGCTACCTAGTCACCATTTTCGTGTTTCGCGAAAACAGAAAGAAGGATTCCGTTGAAGAAGATCGACCATGACATGCTGCCGCTCGCAAACTCGCAAACTCGACAGTCATTCATTATCTCAGCCCAACAGCAACAGCAGCAATGAGTAATCCAACAACACCGACCACCACAACCAATGGTGGAGAAGAGATGGGCTGCCAAAGTCAACAGAGGAACTCGCAACAGAAGAGAGCCTACCAACTGGCTGCCAAGAACAACAGATCCAAGAGAGCCAGAGAAGAAGGACCGCAAACAACGCTGGGAGGAGTGGTAGCAGAAGTCTTTGATCCACTCAAGAACTGTGTCATCTGTAAGGCCAGACATCTTGGTCTCAGAGTCCCCAAGAGATCACACTCTGTCTTCTGTATTAAGAATACAGTAACAAGAGGAAGAGGAGATTTGAATGAGCTGACAATGGAAACTATCAGAGAGAGCAGAAGACTCACAAGGCACTTCAGTGCTCCTCTTCCACTGAATGAGAGAGGAAGCTGGATGCATTCCACAAGAGAGAATGGAGATGCCTTCTTCGCTGCTAGAACGAACACAGCCAAACCAAATCAGAGCCAGCAACAGAAGACATCCACAAGGAACACAACCAGCACAACTCCAATAGCTCTCTGTCGAAAGGTCACCACTCTTGTGAAGGATAATGCCTTTGTCGAAAAGCACAAGACCAAAGGAGCACCACTAGCTATGCTAGCACTGGCTGAAACTGTGTCAGAATCCATTATCAAGCCAAGGAATCCACAATTCCACCAACATTTTGAAGGACTCACCATGACAGTTCCATCCACAGACGAGCAATTCAAGTCTCCACACTATCACTCTATTGTTGGCCAGAAACTACTCCTGGTGGACTGGAATCGATGTGGAATTACAGTTCCTTGTCCCGATGGAAGATGCTCTGGCCAGCTCAAGAATGCGAGGCATAACTGGTCAAAGAACAAGACCTTGTTCCCTATCTTTGGCATCACTGGAGCTCCATCTTGGTGCATTGTCATGTCAATGGTCTGTGACTGTTGCAAGAGAAGGTTTGATGCCAACAGTGCTGAAGTCTTGTGCACAATCCCACAGCATGCTGCTCTCCTCTATCCCGTGGAGTCAAAGTATGCCCTTCCAAACAAGGCATGTCACCTGGACAGGACCGCCACTGAGACTTTCGAATCCATCATGTTGACCTATGGAAATGGAGAACTCTGCAGCCGGCTCATCTACAATGCAATCAACAGAAACTTCATTAGGTCCATGACATCATACTTCTCCTATTGGGAGGGAAGTGACACTGATCCAGATCCCTTTCTTCAAAAGGATGGCACTTACATACGACAGTTTCCTCCTCTTGGTGACACCATCCGTGACATCTATGATGCTGCCTGTGCTTACAACAGGAATCCGCTGGAGAGATCAGTGAACAACCAAAGTGCACACAAGAGAGATCCAAAGTGTTAGTTGCAACAAAGGACTATCTAGATATCTAAGTACCACACTTGACAAGGATTACTGATCAAGAACTACTCAAGAGTCTTTCTGCTGTATGGATTCGTCATAACAGAAGATCATGCTGCTTTCTTGTTCCCACCACCAAGACAATCAACTTCTCTCATGCTGCTATGCAGCTAGCAAGGAGGACCAATTCAATCCAGCTGCATGTACAGTGACACTGGCCAACAAGGATGACTATGGGAGTAACTCTTCCAGAATACAAGGTAGCTGGCTGTTCCATGAGAAAAGATCTGTAACTTTGAGAAAGGGACACATTGATCTACTTCAAGCTTTGAGACTATCTTGGATTGCCTCTATGATGTACTCACCAGATGACTATGAGAAACTTCTCCATGCATGAAACATGGCCTCTTGTCACCAATGGCAAGTGCTACTCCATGGCAAGAGATCTCGACTATGCAACCTCCAAGGTCTTCAGAGACGTACTCCAAATACTAAGGAAGACAGATGAGGCCAGAGACAATGAGCAGATGTTGCAACAGTGGTTCTGCAGATACAAGGTGACTGCAGTGAGGTAGCCACCTGCAGGGCCGACTGATCCAGCAAGAACTTTACCTTGTTCACACCCGATACCAAGCCAGCAGTAGAGAACTGTGTTGACAAAGCCATTCACTGGGCTGATCCCTGCCTGAAGACATGTATGACACAATCCTCCCATCACCCAACTCCAAGCACAGCTCCCAGATATCTGTCAAGGAGAGGAGAATCCAAACTGGAAGCATTCCATGACAAGTTGCCCATTTTGCCAATAGTGGCATGAGAAGAAGTCTAGCAGATGCCCTCAACCTTGCTGGAACAGCCCGATACAACCTCAACATTCGACACAAAAGAGCCTTCCAAGAACACTCATTCCGGATCATCGGAAAAGGTTGTTCCATACTGGAACCATTCAGATATGGCTTACTCTGAAGATAGCTAGCATGCTGTGGTCTCAATGAACATTTCCCAAATGCAGACCTGCCACAGATAATGGAGAGGTTCTTTCGAGTTCATGTGCATTCAAACCACAGCGGCAGAATTATGCACCAAATGATTGTTGTTTGTGTTGCTGTTTACAGGCACCGAACCACCGACTCCACCAGCATCGAGCCACCAAATCCACAGCAATCGATCCACAGCAATCGACCCACCACTGCAACAGCAATGGTTACCACCGCCCGCCACCACCCACCACACCACCACCTCAGTGCACAACAAGAAATGTATCTTGTAAATATTCTATACAGCAACAACCAATTCAAATGATGAACTTGCCATGCAAATGCGCAATTCCAACCAATACTTCCATCTCCTTTCCAGCCACCTCCTCCACCAATGGCGCTGTCAGAGATATGCCATGGTTGACAACAGGAGAGAAGACCACCCCATGATGCCACTGTCGAACTTGATTAATGGATACTGGCATAACAGCAATAAATATTTATGTACATCAATTCATTTCTTATGTAGCCATTAACTTACAGTAAAGTTCCACAATGGACAGATTGTGTGGTTGCAAGAATCCAAGGTTCAGCATGTCTTCCATGCAATCATCAACAAAAGTCTCACTCATCAAATCAATATCTTGAAGGAGATTTTGTTGTTGTAGTCATACCATGCAACAATACCCATGCCAAGCATCCATCACCATCTGTCCTTCATTGACAACAACTCATAGCTCTCACTTACCTTTCCCTCACAACAATAGATGCACTCAATGAAGATGTCCTTCCTTTCACATATTGGCCCTCCAGCATTTAGAAAGGGTGGAGAGAACTTTATGGTACCATTTTGGACTTTTGAAGCCCCAATAAAACATATATCCATGATGTGTCATTCAGGAGGAAGAGGCTTGCATTCTCCTTGCATGATCAGATCCTCAAGAATGGAAACATGGTCAAAGTCTTGTGGGCACGCAGCTGTACTTCTCATTGCTGTTGATATCACAAATGAAATACTTGCAATTGAATCCATTCCTTGTGCCTCAACCATGAATGGGTATTCCTTACACTTAGCAGCCAATTCGAGAAGGCAGAAGAAGTAGTTGCGATCTCTGGTCGAGTGTGTTTTGTTGTTTCGATTTTCGTGGAGCATCTCCGATTCTCATTGTACGCGATACGAGCCTCTTGCCAGTGTCTTGCCCTACCGAAGTAGCACTACTTCAAGACAAATAGCCAGGCAATCACGAAGTGGCTTCTTGTTGTCAAGGTCGGTCGCTCTGGTTTGAGCGCGAAGAAGGGTTGGGAGGTATCGACGATTCTTTATCCATAGAGTAGTAGTGGTAGAGAGCGTAGAGAGACAAGATAATAGTATTAGCTTTCATTATCGCAAGCAACAACTGCCATGGCCATTGTCAACAACAACAACAACAACAACAACAACACAACAACAACAACACAACAACAACAACAAACAACAACAACAACAACAAACAACAACACAACAACAACAACAACACAACAACAACAACACAACACAACACAACACAGCACAGCAGCATTCTTACCTTTTCGAGTGCTTCGATCATGTCAGTTTTGAATTGTGGGAAGCGGGAAGGTTTGGCTTCAGCGAAGGAGAGGGAAAGAAAATTCGTTGAATCATTTGAATTCGAAAATAGTATGTGGTTATGACGTATTTGCTGACACTTATCTTGTTCTTCAGACGTTTCACATGGGGGTATGACTGCATTTACATAACGGAACGTTGGAGTCATCGTCGTTTCCCCCTCTTACCCTATGTATTCTTGTGTCCGTTTGGTAGGATTGGCGTGCCATGCTTGCTCTCCACGGGAATATGGAATCCAACCGATAACCCTCTCCCTTTCTTTTTTCTTTTCCCTCCCCCGCGCTGGTGCCTGACCCCCCGTAAATCTCTCGGGTGAGAGACAGTGTCGGGCAGGCAGGTTAAAAGATTCTTCTTGTGTTACTTTCTCAAGATGCAATTAAACTCTGGGGTGTGTTGAAGAATGAAAAATCTGTGACTACGGGTCGGGATCTTCAAAGATTGGAGCCTTTTGGATTTTGCTCACCAGGCACTGCATGGACCGCCATTGCCGAGAGCATTTTCCAGAGACTGGACTCTCCATGAACACTTTTTCTTGGCCCAGCAGGCTGCCGAGAGTGACTCTTCAGTCTACTGAAGTAGACATTTTGTAGACAGATATCGTACTCCGCTCTATTTTATTAAGTGCGATACCGGTACCCGCTGCACCACTGGCTACCGGTAGCTGTCCTATTGCTCCTGTTTCCACGGAGCTCTCCCACACTATTATCAGTTGTTTCCACGGCCCCGTGACTGGAGAAACAAGACTCGTCACTATCACTGCTGCGGATCTCGCGTTGCCATTTCTTCAGAGGCTATCTTCCTGTCCAATCTGCATATCATGCTCGACAATGATGCCCTAATACGCCTCTCTGTGCTCACTGCACTGATTGTTGCTTTTCAAGTGCTGGTTTCGCATGTGTCACTGGAGAGAGAGGCAAAACGACGATGGCAGCATGCCTTGACTGGCCACGTTATAGTACAGGCCTCCTACATTATTCCGATGAGTTATGGCAATGCAGGTCTGATGATTGGAGCTGTGGGAATGGCATATGTTCGTCTTTATCATCCATACAAGTTCATGGAAGCCTTTGGTCCACTCTTGCGACCAGAAGAGCTGGAAGCCGGCAAACTCCCGGGCGCATTCCATTTTCTTATCGGGTCGTCCCTCACTGCCACTCTTTTCAATCTGCCAATTGCTCGGTATGCTGTGGAGTGCCTAGCGATAGCAGACCCAATGGCTGCCTTTGTGGGAAAATCAGTGCCGTCGCCACAACTGAATAAAAGTGCCTCGGTGGCGGGAAGCTTTGCTTGTTTTATCACGTCATTGGTTGTGGGATACCTGATGCTAGAAGATGCATCATTGCTCCAACTATCCATGGGTGCCCTTGGATGCACTCTAGCAGAGGCAATGCCATTTGGGAATGACAACTTGACAATTCCATTAATGACAGCCGTGGCTGTGGCATGTTTTTCAAATTCATACTGAAAATTTGGTTCCTGCTCATGCACCAATCAGGCTGCTCAGGCTGTTGAACTCAATACACTGCTTCTTTGTCAGTGAAAGTTGGACGATATCAATTCTTGTGGATAGCTACAGCAAGTGTTTGATACTGATTTAGTCCCTTCCCCTTTCTATTGAAGTAGCTGCAGAAAAAGATGTGTGTGATCAAGCTCTGCTGTTCAGATGTCAAGATATTTTCAATACTCTCTCCTCATTTCATTCTTGAGGGAAGTTGGCTGCTTTGCTATCGGTATAGCCCACTCCATTATAGTTCTTGTGGTCAGGTATTGGCAATTTAGTTTCCACACCACCATATTGCCTGCCTTCAGTACGAATATTCTCTGCAATCAAAGAGTGCTAAGCAACAGTTGCAGCTTGAATCACAACGACAACAAAAATAATTATGGGATTACGATGCATTATTCAAAGGCTGCAGCAAGCAACCGGAGAAGAAGTACCCACACCACAGAGTAAACCTGCAAGAAAGGGGCCGGGGAGCGTTCCTCCGGCTCCCCGTCAATCATAACACCACCATGGCTAACTCTCTCGTCGCCGGTTGGAGAGGAAGCAAGGGCGAGGTCAAACTGCTGCATGGTACCGTACCTGTCCATCAAGAGGTCCTCAATGCCTTCTCCTTTCCCTGCACAAGCGACACTTCCTGGAATTGTTGCAACATGCATGTTTTGGTTCGGAGGGCATTTCTTCTCAAAGCACGCACTAAGCTGGCGACACACACAGAAAAGAAAAGAGCAGAATCGTGGCTTCTGGTGATGTGCTGAAGCCCGTCAATGTGCTGGAGTGAAGTCAGCGTCAGGAAAGAGAGAAGGATTGATCCTCCTGGGTGATTGACAGCGTCTAGCTAGCTAGCAGGTTACAAGATATCATGTAATTGGTTCCTTTGGTAGAGAGTACAAAGCAACCCCAGCTCCGCACACAGCCACGACGCGTCCACAGGTTGTGTTGGTAGTGCAAGCCATACAATTGACATCGCCAACACTACAAGCTGCTGTCCACACCAGCTCCAGCCCCGTGTCATCACCGTCCAGTGGATCGGGGCGATCGTCACTTTTGGATTTCGGTGATTTGCACTCCCATAAGGCCAACCGTTGGCTATATCCAACCGACAGGATGCGATTCTTGCCCAACAGAAGCACTTCTTTGATGGCCGAAGAGCTAGCTTCTCTCACCGTTATGGAACGCCTCATAGTGGCGGTTGTAGCAGTTGCTATTTGAAACTCAGACAATGTGATAGCTTGGTCGTCTCCACCACTACAAACAAGCACAGTATCGTTATTCAGAGTGCACGCAGAGATTGAGTTGACGCCCATTTGGTGGGCATGGTATTGTGCCAGACGAGTCGCTGGAAACGTCGTGGCTGCTGCTGCTTTGGGATCAAGGAGAACATTCCATTCTTCAGCACTGGCATCCGAAGGTAGCTCCCACAACTCAATATCCCCGCCTGTAGTTCCCACAAACAGCAAGAGATGTGATCCAACCTTGACCATCTCTACAGAAAGAATTGGTCTGCGGACAAGATCCGGTTTCGGCAGTGGCAGTCCCCTCCAAGACTGCTTCTTGAAACCTCCAATATCAACAGTGATGAGGTAGATGTGACAATTTCCTTCAGAATCTCCTGCAGTCACCACTGCGAGAGGACAAGATGCAACTGAATCCCCAACAGTACTGTCAGTTGTCTCCAGCAGTATAGAGCACACTGAGTTGATTCTATGGTCGATGGATGCTTTCTCCCTGCTTACCCCGTTACCCATGAACCTAATCAAGGCATCCCCGGTACTGGCAGGAGTTGTGTCAAACTTTACAGCTTCGTTCGGAAGAAGCCGATTGTGAACCAAAAAGAATTGAAGCATCAGCTTGCCTCCGCCAACCACAATGAGGGTCGTGGTATGCCCTTCTGCATGGTGCGTTGAGCTGCAAACAGCTCGAACGCAACTCTCCTGTGGCGGTAATCGTTTCGTGCAGGTCAAAGTGCCATTCTGAAAGAGAGAGATTCTCGACGCACAATCTTCGCTCCCAGTCACCAACGCCCACGTCTTCACCGTTCCATCGGGTAGAACATGATGCGGAAAGAAGCTGGCGCTGTATATAGTTTCGCCATGCAAGCCCACCCCCAAAGTATACTGATGTCTTTGCCAGCGGACGACAGCCTGGTCTGCGTTGGTCACCTTTTGATGAAGCAGGATTTCATTTCGGCCGTCTTTCTTTCGGTTGCTGCAAACAGCCATGTTGTGAAGCATCATTGGCGAGTTGGCATGAGCCTCTGACGCAAAGGCATTTTCAAGGCAAGCAGCGTAGTGGTCATGAAGACGTTGTCGTCCACCGGTATCGACTCGGAAAAGTTCGTATCCACAAGAAACATTCAAGACCACAAATGTGTTCCCATAATACCCAGCAACAATGACATTCTCTCCCTCAACCTCTGGGATAACCCAGACTTGCGCTATGCCAGTGAGGGCCGAAGATGCATTGACTGACAGCCCACTGCAAAAGGTTCCCGTTTGAATATTGTAATAGGTTTCATTGATACAGCCGTCATTCCCGGCCGAGAGAATGCGTTGGTAGTCCTTTGCAGATTGATCGGTCTCGGCAGCATTCACCGTGACAGGTGAAGCCATAACAACAACGTCCGTAACATGTTCCTTCTGGTGCAAGCGATTCAAAATGTCTAATGGCGTTCGAACTTCTTTGCCGGTGAATTTGTTGTCGGCAGCTTCTTGTGCTGGATCGTTCACGTCAAACATGGCCAGATTGCCGCGGGTATCGCCCACAAACAACTTGCTGTGGATGCTATCATGAGCGAAGCAGATTGGAATCGCCCGAGTGCCCATCTCCAACGCCAACGTGGGTTCCACTGTGATCTGCTTCCCAAAGGATGACGCTTGGATGGACCACCACAGCACAGCATCCACATGGAATGATATCAATGTCATTGTTGTTGTGGACTCGTTTTTGGAATCGGCGGCGTTATCAGCATCACCAACAAGCCAGGCAACTCTTTGAACGGACCGGTACTTTTTTGGTGAGTGAATGACAAGCCGCTCTGTTGTTCCAGTAGCTTCCGTCGTGCTGGACCCATTAGGATCATCGTCTGGAATCTTCATCAAGACAATTTCTCCTTGTGTGGTCCCGACAGAGACCCATAATACGGCGCGTTTCGTCTTGTCATCATCACGGGCCAAGTGAACTGCCATGGAGCATCCGCCAGTGCTGTCCACGGAACTTTCAATGTCTTGTTGTGTGCCAATCGTCGTTGGTGATGACGCCCACGATCCCAGGCAATCCCACTCTGGTTCGCCGTCATCTGCAACAGCACGCCGCGACGTATTCATACATGTAGTATCGATGGAGAATACGTTGCCGGTCCGTGTAGTCAGCAAAAGCTTGTGTGCCGTGTAGAATTTCATGGCGAACACGACTTGGCCCGGATCAGCTTTCTTCTTCTTTTTGTGCTTCTTTGTCTTTTTAGCTTTTGGTTCGCTGTCATTACACGTCGTCGTCGTCGTAGCACAATCGTGGATTTTTGGAGCATCGCTCATTTTCTGGTCATCGTTGGCTCCATGGTTGTTGGATTTGGGTGGTGGCGGCCGGTCATCTGGCACCAGCAAAGTGGATGGGTGTATTCCATCTAGGTTGACGACGGAATCTGATTGTGTTGGTTCCACATGGTACAGTGCCACCGTTCCATCATTGCCTCCCGTGGCAATCATGGCCCCATCCTGGTTATTGCTGCTAGTGTCTACACTCCAAATACACTGACAGGCATGGCCCCGTAGTATTTCCAATTGTGTTCCTGTTTCCAATTCCCACAGACGAGTAGTGGCATCTTCCCCCGTGCTCACAATGATTGTCGTGTCGTGTGATGATGCTTGTTGTTGTAGAATAATCGTCCCCAATCCCCATATCCGTGCCGTGTGACCCCAGCCAATCCAAACACACTGATGATCCCTCCACAGCCGCACACTTCGGTCATCCGATGCCGAGACTAAGGATTGTTGTTGTGGTTGTGTCGGAACCCATTTCAGGTTGTGAATGACTCCCTTGTGGCCAAGCAGGCATGCCTGTTCCGGCACATCTATTGCCAATGGCTCTTGCTGTGGTTGTGTTGGAATAATTTCCAGGCTCCAAAGTCGGATATCTTGCATGGCCGTCCCCACTGCCACATGCACCGATGTACTATGGTTCTCCTCTACGACGAGAAAATCCAAACAATACGTCAAACATCGCTTGGCGCCCCTCCAGATTTGCAACTTGGTAGCCACGAGACATTCTTGATTCTTGTTGAATGACCAAAGCTCCACAGTGTTGTGAGCCAATCCAATCAGGAGGCAGTGGTGGTTGTTATTGCTATGGCTACTAGTAGATGTACTGGTAGAATCTGATGATGATGTAGAAGAATCCACCCACTGAACATCCCAAATCCAATCCGAGCACTGCATGGCGTCACTCTGTTTTGTGGTTGCTGTATTAGAACTCGAAGACAGCATCAGTGGGATATTCTCAATGGGCATTTCTTCCACAACATTTTGGAGCAGTGCCACTTGCCGTCCTCCATAGATCGCCGTCAAGGACTGACCGTTGTTGTGTCGAATCCCATGAATGAGGGTGGTTCCATTGGAAAAGACGGTATGCGGCTGACTGGTTGTTGTATTGTTGGATCCGTCCATCCAGACGCGCATCAATCCGGATCCTTGACTGTACAGACACAGATTCCTTCTACTAGTAGCGAGTAGGGACACGGCGGTGACGGGGCAGCCCACACAACCTGCCATTGTGAGCTTGGACGAGCCCCAGCTCTCATTATGATGCAGACTTTCATCCATTGCAGTGGTAAGCAGGCGATTGAATAGAATAGATCGAAAGGAGGACTATACTAGCTAGTATGATTTTCGTATATAATATTCAAGGATAGTAGAGGCACCAAGAAGACACGACGACAATTGAGGAGAGAGAGCAGGAGAGAGGCTGTGGGGGGATTTGTGGCCGTCGGAAGCTGGAAGGAAATTGTGTTTCAGTACGGGACGGTACATGTGCATGTACACGTGTAGGGTTAGAAGTAGCTGCAAATCCAGTGAAAGCGGATTTCCGTTAACGAAATGGTGTGCGATACTTCCGAAATAAGGCACTGACACGTCACCATGCACAGTCGAGTCGCAAACGTCTATCATTAAGCCAGCTGCGCTGTGTGATTCCATTGACGCTTTACATCGTGGGTTGGTGGGAATTCAATGGCATGGCACTACGGTACAGTATGGTACCGCGGTGAAACACTCGATGCAGTGTTTACGTGTTTACTGTTGAGCTTCCCTGCTTTTTCATCCACGGTAAGAACATTCACTCAAGTACGTACACACACTGGTAATGCCTGGGTTGATGCAGGGCACAGGCCATAGGACCCGAAGAAACTGCCAGCAATGCCGTCTCCCGTGTCAATTCCTCTATGTCTTGTGGCGACTCGACTCTGACTGGCCGCAACCCATCCTCACCCATACATGTATGTAGTCCAATAGCTGCCAGCCTGCATCTGGTGCAGCTTCGAAAACCTTTTGGCTGGCTTCTTGCGAACGTAGCGAGTAGCGGCAGCACCAACCCTGCTCCAAAAATCTTGCCGTTCCCTGTGCAGTCATAGAAACAATGATGTCAGTAGAAAAACGGTATTGGACGTTCAACGGTATAGACTTAATTAACAACAGAAACTCTGTGGATTTATCATGGGGGAACAGAAATACCTTAAACATCTTCTACTGTGGATCAACAGTACCTACCCAGTGCTTCCGCAAGCACGGAGAAAGACGCTCCGATCAGCCAACTCTCCACTTTTCTTATGCTCGGTTGCACGCCTTGAGATTGAGTTTGCAAGCGCACGAGCAACAAAGGCTGCTCCAAGTCTGTAACCAGCAAATACTTTACGATTGCCACCCATAGTTCCCTCTAACCACATCGTAACATTGATCGCAAAGGCCACCACCACTAAGAAGTTCACAATACAAATCGTAGATTCCCTGCCAAAACGAACGGTGTTATCCATAAGCAGTAGCAACATGAACTGTTTCCACATCCCTTTCAAAAACCAAATCAGTCCGCAACAAAGCCCTCTGCAAAAATCAACTCCTATCCACTTCCTGAGGATTACTGTCACACTGATTCTTTTCTTTCCATACACAACAATGTCGCAAACAACTGGAGGTCTCCTCATTGCCGCAGATGAGTATGTGTGCCCACAGGAAACATCAATAATAGAACGGACCCTAGTGCTCTACACTTTGGATGATGTTGATGAGACGTCATGGCGGATAGATGGCTTCGAGGAAGCGTTTGAAGAAGTCTATGATCAACAGAGCTTTGAGGCATGTGATATTCCATACTTCCGAACAATCAAGTCCGCTGAAATCCTTGCCATTGAAGATGGTGAAGTGGGCTCAGTTCTTACACTCCGTGTCCTAGCAAATTGCTACAACTGTACTGGATCTCTCCCCTTGTTTCCATCCTACATCAGTAACACCACTGCTGAACTAGCAGTGCAGCTAGCAGCAAATATGACAGCACCACTATCACAAGGGACAAAGCCACCAGCAACTGGAGTCTTGTTGGACAAACACCCAATGAAACATGAGATGCGAAGGGCATCCACCGACTGTTTGTGCCCAGCTGGGGGTACACCAGATTCCAACCTCCTTTCTCTAGAGGTGTTCCTTCCGGAGTTGAACCTAGCCACCCAAATTACTACAGAAAGACTGGTGGAGCTACAGAACATCCCTTGCTCTCAAGAGAAGCGGAGCTTTTCCTCCTTTGCCTACATCAATGTGAACCTGGCCAACAATGCGGTTCCATCTCAAACAGAAGTCAAAGCACTGGAAGATGCCTTTGTTCGAACCTACAACGAGTTGAGCTTCCTTACCTGTGACCCCTACTTTCGAACAATTGTCGGGGCAACCTTGGACCTCCAACATGAAGACAAGAATTCAAAACAGCGACTCCTCAACCGGTGGTTGCAACAAGGTTTGAATGAGACCAATTCTGCTAGCGACGCAAACATGACCACAACCATCATGCCATCATCAGCACCGTCGTTGGCTCCCACCAATGTCCAATCTGGGGCAGGGAGTGCCATATTCACCATAACTGGAGAATGCCGAAACTGTCCTGTTACAGATACTGGTAGCTTCAGCCTCTTTGATGATGCCTTCCGCAGGAAGGTAAGGGCATTGCTCAATGATGAATGGGATGTAAGCCATTCACAATACCCTCATAGATCCATTGGTATTGGCAGAGGCCAACAGCGGGATGTCGCCACTAGAAACAAGGGGATGTCATCATTTTTAGAGTTTGATCACATCATCCAAGGCAAGAGGTGGTTGCAAGAGGATGACATCTGCATCTGTCCACCAGAAACAGACAAGTTCATCGATGGGGATGAGGAAGCTCCCACTCTCAAACAGACAGACTTTCTTGATTCCTACAATGATATTTTGGAGGAGCTTCAAGAGGATGGCATAGTGGAAGCTGTGGCAGGTGCAGAGGATGTTGAAGAAGGGCAAAAAGTGAAATGTGGATCCAGTTTGTTGAGCTTCAAATCAGCAGTGTTCTCAGACCTCCAGGTGAACATTTCTTCCTTCACTGTTGATGAGGCCCGCCTGCTTGAGAGAAGCTTCCAAGATTCCTACAACCGGTTGTCCTATGTGACATGTGATGGCCATTTCAGGAGTGTGGCAAAAGTGGAACTGCAGGTGATTCCAACAGGTGACACTGCAGCCATTGATCTTGTTGGAGCCCGCCGCTTGGAAGATGTGTTGCTGAAACGAGATCTACAACAGACACTTGTCACAAACAGCTCTGGTGTCTTCAATAGCACCAACAGCACCATGAATTCTACATGGACTGTGACACCCCAACGATCTCCGGACGAGGTTGTTCCCATTCTGTTCTCTGTCACGGGTACATGCAGAGATTGTCCAGTCACAGACACTGGTACATTCAACCTCTTTGATGATGCTTTCCGAAGGCGAAGGAACCTGGCCAATACTAATCATGGACAAGCTATGCTTAGCTCAGGATTCCTCAGGGACCTCCAACAACAGCAGCAGCAACAGCAAAAACTAGGAGCCAGTGACTCATGCATTTGCCCTGCAGGGGAACAGCCACAGATTGGTGTGGGGCCTACAACTGGAGACTTTGAGGTGGCATTCAATGATGAAATTGATGCCCTTGAGGATGAAGGGGAAGCAACATCAGTACAGACCACTGCTGGGAATGTTGTGGAAGGACAGCCAGTCCTCTGTAATGGTGAGATCCGACAGTTCAAGTCCTTTGTATATGCTGATATCGGCATAGATCCTTCAACGCTTCCGAACAGCACCATTGAGACATTGGAGAAAGTGTTTCAGGATACCTACAACAGCTTGTCATTTGAGGCATGCGATGAGTTCTTCAGGGTTGTTTCTAAGGTTGGTCTCATGGTTGATAACAACATTTCAGCCCGAAGATTGCAAAGTGGAAATGTAACAGATCAATGGAATTCCACTGATGCCTCCAACTCCACCAGAAATGGAGGGAGAGTCCTGTTTGAGGTTACTGGAAGGTGCCGAAATTGCCCAGTCACAGATACAGGGAGTTTCTCATTGTTTGATGATGCTTTCCGGCGTTCACTTTTGGAAGAAGATGAAATGTCTTTCCATACAAATCAAGGTCAACACAGGGGCCTTTCTGCTTCATCAAGGGGAAGTCGACACCTTCAACAAGCCCTTGATGTATGTTTGTGTCCCACTGGGAAAGAGCCAGGAGA